AAAAAAAAACTTAAATGATTTTAGCAAATGGCTGCAATATAACAAAGAGTGAAAAATTTAAGGGGGTCTGAATACTTTCCGTACCCACTGTATATATATATATATCTCTCGATCAAAGTACACAATACATATATGACCACAAGAACTTCATATGCTTTTTTGTTTGTTTAGATTAATCGTTCAGAGAGGTTTGACCAAACTGTTAAACTAGGTTATTTCCAAATCATCCAAGCACCCGATTGATTTCTAATGTTTGATGATCATGGCTAAGTAGTATTAAATTGTAAAGAAATTACAGATCCATCTTTGAAATCTGATTGGTTGATAACGTTTGACAACGTTTAATTCAGGTGCGAAAATAATTAATATCTGCATGAGCACAGAGAGATTTGCGAGTGCACAGGACACACTTTGAGCACGCACACTCTCTCTGGGCGAGAGCAGTGTGTATCTGACCACGCGCGTCTGGTTTTGTGCGAGAGCAAAGGAAATCCGCGTGCGAGCGGAGAGATTCGCGCTCACGCATTATATTTATGGGCTTTCGCGCTACAATAATGCACTCTCGACATTTGTCATTAAAATAACGCCATACAAAACACAGAAGTTATATTTGTTTCAACCCAACTTTGGGTCAAATATGGACTAACCCAACTTTTGGGTTATAAATGTAATTTTAAAAAGTACCCCAACAGCTGGGTTAGTCCATATTTTACCCAAAGTTGGGTTGAAACAACCCAGCATTTTTAGAGTGCACAATAGAAGGTTACCCAACAATGACAACTATGGCTTTCTGCTTCTGAGAATCCCTGAAATGTGAAAAGGGTCCATAGAAACCAATCGATCAAATAAATGCTTTATCATTTCTCATGTGTATTGGACAGTTATTAGAGAAGTTAGTGGAGGCAGACAACTAAACTTGAGGGATATTGCACATATCTCTCAAGCTGCCTCTCGCTGTAGGCTGCTGGGACTCTCATGGCTTTAATAAAATATAAAAAATTTCCATAAGTATCTGTCCTTTACAGTTCCTGAACTGACCTTGTGAGCCTTAACCATTCATTACTCACAATCTGCATTGCGTCCAATTAAGCCTCGGCATATCAAATTAAAAGGACTTAAGTATCGTAATTTACACTTGACTTAAACTAGTAGTGTTCGTTTGGTTACTTTGTTCTTGTGGAGGTGTAGATGACAGCATCTTGTGGAGGTGTAGATGACAGACTGTTATTAATGGTCTTAGCATCATTATGCTGTCACCTCTCTGAGCCTGAATGCATTGGATGTGTGCTGAAAATCTTACACTGAATTGAAAAGCTGATGTTGAACCTGAATGTTTGAATGGCTGCACTGGTGTGTTAGCGAGATCTCTGCTGCCCCACTGTGTTCATATGTATACATACACACACACACACACACACACACACACACACACACTCTCTGAAGGAATTCACAAATGTGTGTCTGAACACCCTGAAGAGGAAATGAACTGTGACTCATTCATACAACCGGATTTGCAAATTGCCAAAGGCTTTTATTGAATTGAGTTTAAAAAGTATTTTTCATTTTATTTCCGTTTCATTCATTTGCTCGTCCCTTCAGATAAAGTCATCACATCTGTATCATTCTTTCACTGTGCTTTCGTGATGCCACATACACTGGTTTAGGTGTTTCTTTTTCTTCCCAGTGATCTGGTGAACGGCCTGGTATCCCTGATGAATAATAATATCAGTAGTCCAGTTAACCTGGTGAGTTTAGCATTTTGAGTTGCTACTATATATATATTTTATATTCTGCAATTGTTAATAAATGGTAAATAGAAACAGTCCAATAATTTGCAGTTTAGGCCTGCCTTTCAGTTGTGCTGTAATGTTGAATGGCTAGTTATCATTTTATCCTTATAAAGTTAACATTACTTATAGTTCAACATAACTAAAACCATAGAACCAAAAAAAAAAGTTAATTGAAATGATAAACTGAAATTTGTGTGTGTGTGTGTGTGTGTGTGTAAAATTTAAAAATAATAATTTAGACAGCAAATTAAAAAAAAAAAGACTAATTACAGAAACCTATGGATTGAATTTTTAAGCGATTCAGCACTAGATTTTTTACAGCATTTAATAATCTACGGTTAATTTACAAATATAATATTGATCATTGTTTATGTTCGTTCCATAATTCATGAATAACTCATACAACTTGAAATGTATTAGCATATGTAGTAATTAATATTAACTAAAACACAAAAACACAGCCAATTTTTGGTCACTTGATTTACATGAAAATATGTACCACCCTGGACCACAATTTTGAAATTGAGATTTATACACCACCTCAAAGCTGAATAAATAAGCTTTCTATTGATGTATGGTTTAAGATAGGACTATATTTGGCCGAGATACAACTATTTGAAAATCTGGAATCTGAGGGTGCAAAAAAATCAAAATACTGAATATAGCCTTTAAAGGGGTCATATGATGCTGCTAAAAAGAACATTATTTTGTGTATTTGGTGTAATGAAATGTTTATGCGGTTTAAGGTTAAAAAAACATTATTTTCCACATACTGTACATTATTGTTTCTCCTCTATGCCCCGCCTTTCTGAAACGCGTAGATTTTTACAAAGCTCATCGGTCTGAAAAAGCGAGGTGTGCTGTGATTGGCCAGCTATCCAGTGCGTTGTGATTGGCCGAATACCTCAAGCGTGTGACGGAAATGTTGCGCCCCTCGCCATATTGTGATGATGCCCTGTCAGGCCGGAGCGATGATTCAAAAACATGAAAACCCATTATAAACGAGGCATTCATTGCATCCAGTGGGGACATAATTATGGATTATAATGACTTGTACTGTCTTTTTACGCATTGCATCGCGCCGCATAAACATAAAACCATGTCTGCATTTGTGATCGGAGAAATGACAAACAACAAGCCCTACTCTACACTGCTCAAAACTAGGGGACTAGAGTGAGGAACGGCGGGAGGGTTAGAGTGAGCAGAGGCGCGGGCTTGAGAACGGCGCGGCCGGCGATTTCGACGAAGGAGCGTCCGGAAGGACATGTGACGA